CACTCGTGCGTCAGAGTGTTTCTGTTGTCTGTGAGTGAAAAACAATTCAGTGGCGTGAGAGCCTTTCAGTGGCGTGTATGAGAGCATTTCAGTCGCGTGAGTTTTAATTGTGTGTCTGAGAGTTGGGGGGGGGGGGGGGGGGGGGGGGGGGGGGATCAGTACTGTTCGTGTTTCACTCGTGCGTCAGAGTGTTTCTGTTGTCTGTGAGTGAAAAACAATTCAGTGGCGTGAGAGCCTTTCAGTGGCGTGTATGAGAGCATTTCAGTCGCGTGAGTTTTAATTGTGTCGGTCTGAGAGTGTTTTATTTGCGAGTGAAAAACAATTTGGTGTATTTCAGTCGGGTGTGAAAGTGGCTCAGTTGTGTGGTGAGCAAAAGGAATGTCATGTGTGAGAGCGTTTCAGGAGCATCAGAGCGCTTCAAAACGTGAGAGAGCGTTTCATTAGTGCACGTGAGCAAGCAAATATTTGAGTGGCCCTGCCGAGTGAGAGCATTTGAGTCATGTGTGAGAGCATTTCAGGTGTGTAAGTTTTGGGAGTATGGAAGCATTTCATCGGTGTGTGAGTGAAAAAGCCATTCATTAATATGAGTGTCGCAGGAGTGTTTGTGAAACACGAACACGAGGGGTAAGGGAAGGATGGCAATCGCGTGTGAGTGTTTCAGTAGTGTGAGAGCGTTTCATCTTGAGTGGAAAGAAAGTAGTAGCGCGCATGACCATTTGAGTCGGCGTGAGGTCGTTTCAGTCGTGTATGTGAGAGCGATTCAGAAGTGTGAATGAGTTGCGCATTTGAGAAGAAAAAAAATTCTCCCTGAGAGCCTTTCAGCAGTGTGGTAGCCTCTCACTTGCGTTTGTGTTTTGATTTCTGTAGGCTGTGAGAGAGCGTTTCAAGAATCTCTAAAAGTGAAAACAATGTGCGTAGTGTGTGAGAGAGTATTTCAGTAATGGATGGAAGCAAAAGCAAAGCAAAAATCTGTCCAGAGCGTGACAGAACACTTCCGTTGTGTATATGAGAGCGTTTCAAAATAGAGCATGAGAGTGTTACAGGAAGAGTGCGTGAGTGAGAGAGAGTGCATCAGCATTTTATGAGACTGAACAATTTCAGTCAGTCAAAAAATCTGCAGAGTGCGAATGTTTATCCGAATGTGAGAGCATTTCGTTGTGCACGTGAGAGAGATTTTTGCGTGAGCTTCTTGAATTGTCTTACCAAGTCTGTGGAAGGTGTAGTGTCCCTCCATGTACTCGGACGGCGTGGAGAAAGTCGTGCAGCTGGCATACTCGTGAACTTTTCCCGGCGTCATGACCGGAAACTCTCCTGCTCTCACACACAAACGCACGCTTAATCGCTTGCCTTCCCCAAGCGGAGTCGACGCCCCCCGCGCGCGGCGAGTCAGGCGAGGCGAGCAGCGTACCGACCACGCCGGGCCCCTGCACCTCTTCCACGTTGCCGTCGGACGTGGTGATCTTCCAGTAGCGGCTGTCCAGCTGGCAGGCCACCTCGGGCGGCGCGCCGCTCGCCATCTCGATTCTGAGCAGCACACATTTGGGACGCACCTTACCTGATGCGGTAAGTGAAGAAAAAGTGCGGCGGGTGGACGGAGGAGAGCTCGGGCAGGAAGGAGGTGGAAACGGAGACGGTGATATCCCCGGTGGTGGTCACGCAGCTTTTGTCGTGCACGTACCTGCAGGGGAGTGACGCAAAGTTAAACGCAACCGAACTGTCCATCGCCAGTAATTCTTTCACGTAGCACTCGTGGGGGCCCATCGTCACATGACTCTAGCGGCAGACTCACTGCTCTAAACAACTCCAAATTCCAGACGCATGGGTCTCGCTTGTGGAAAATAGCATCTCTCCCTCTGCGACATTTGTGTAGTGTAAGAAGGGCGCGTCGGTAGGATTGTACTTTCGGACGCTGCTGGGAATCCGTTTTTTGGGGGGAAAAAATGTCTTTCTGTTGACCAAAACTCCCATCAGTTCTCTTGGATGTAAACGCATCCTAAATAATAGAAGAGGCGGAGAAGGTCCCCTACTAAATTGCCGTTGTTGTTCCTCCAGAGGAGGAAGAACATACACCCGGGTTCAGTGTTGACAAATGTACCCATTGGGAGCTTTTTTTTTGTGCTGTCTCTGAAACACTCTAAGATGCCTCCACAGTCCTGTCTAAATAGGAAAGTAGTACCGTAAGACGTGTCAAGGAAGTCTGTGTTGAAGTGATGCATCTTGTTTGAAATGATTTTTAAAGTGACTCGCAATCGAATATATTTTCAGCTGACAATGAATTAATGGAGGCAATTATTAAGCTTTTGGGGGTTGGTGGCGGAATCAATGACTTTTTTTTTTGCTATTCGCAGCAGAGCGCAGACCTCTAAGACCTCCAGATAGCATGAGATCGCGTACCTGAAGATCTGGTCTCGGATGATCGGGTACTCTCCCGTGACCACGTTGTTGACGTAGGTGGTGAACCACTCCAAAAAGGAGGAACCTGAACACATCCGAGATAAAATTCCGTCCAAGAGAGAGGGGGGGGGGTGGGGGGGGGGGGGGGGGGGGGGGGGGCGTAGTAGCAGGGAACCCACCTGTGATAAACATGTCTATGACAGAGGGATCCTGGGCTGTCTGATCCTGATAGAGAGAGAAAAGTGACAATGACACAAGCGGCCATGATGTAACACTCCCCCACCTTTTTTTTTGGGGGGGGGGGGGTTCCTGCTGGCGTGAAGGTTGTACAAACAGGGCAGGGGTAGAAGCTCTCAAACTTGCGGCGCCCTTCGGTGTGCTCCAGGGCCATGTATTGGCTGAGGCCCGTGTGGAAGCAAAACGTGAGCGGAAGGCAGCGCCTCATCCCCTTCTTCTGCTGGAACCCCCCCGCCGCCGTCTCCACGTCCAGCAGCACCTCCGAGCGGTAGTGATTGGACAGCGACATGCTGCCCATCAGCCTGAAGGGGACGCGCGGGGACACAAAGGCATGAGGACACGCAGCCGTAATACACGCGCATACAGGCTAGCAGCCCAGGAGACAAGACAACTCAGGAAGACACACGCACCAGAACATACATACCGGAACTCACACCCAAAGACATACAACCAAAAGGGACATACTGCGACATACGCACGCTCACGACGCAGCTGCGAACATACTAACCCCGGGATGACCAGCATCTGGCCATTGTGGATGCGGTACGAGCAACGGTAGTCGTCCGGAAGGCGGCAGCCGATCTGAGCCTCGATGCTGCCCAGCTCTGCCTCGGTGGCACCTTCTGGACCGCCAAGCAAACAGAAAAGGGGGGGAAAGCCAACATGAGGAAGCAAGGACGACAAACGCTAAGGCTGGATTGGCAGTAAGCCGTCGACGATGACCGATGAGCCGAGGAGCCACCTTGTCTGGGGCTTTATGCCGCCTGGCGGGGTCGCCTATGGCGAAACAAGTCCTCGGAGGGGGCGGGGGGTGTTAAAAAAAAAAAAAGTGAAACTTTGTGAGACAGTCACAGGAATGTGAATGTCATGAGTTTAGTTTCGTGTGTTGTTGCCGCTTTGTTCACACAGCCTCCCCTGTGGTTGAAATTGAGGTCAATTATGATTTATTTGTCTTGGTCGAGTCACCTTCAACGAAACATACCTCATTCGTGTAACTGGTTCAATCCCGAATGTAAATGTTCCGATTTTTACGAATGCACCAAGTTAGAGCAAGGGTATTTACAGCAATGTTTCTTCTGAGAATGTCTTCCATTTGAATGTAAAATTGGTACTGCGTGAAAGCCTTCCTTAGACCAGTCGAAAAGCAATTTCAGTGAATCGGGAATCGTACATCGGAGTGAATCAGGCCCGTGTGAATCAAATCGAAATTATGTTGGAAATCAACCCTTCCTTGTGACGACCGTACATGCCTGCCCCACAACAAACAAACAAACATTATATACCGTACTTTCATAATGTTGACATGCCGCACCGCTCTGCACATTCATTGCTTTTTTTTTTTTTTTTTAACAACTACGGCGTTTTAAAGATCGAGAGAATTAAAAATTGAAATCACGATTCCATTTTGATGAACGGTCCAGCCCTAATATGCGGTAGATGGCAAAGTTAGAATAATGTGAGGGTGCGAATGCAATGAGAGCGTCTCATGACATCACCCTTCAGTGACGCGATCATTCGTGGACATCTCTGCCGCAGGAAATTGGTCAGCTGTTCCCAGGCTCTTTTCAACACAGAGTAGTACTGGATGTAGCGGCCCAGGTCATCGTAGTACTCCCTGAAGAGGTTGAACCAGGACCGCCCGCTCTGCACCCGCTCCACGCTAAAAATCGAAAGCACATTTCAACAAAACTTGGAACGTGCAGGTCAACAACAACCAAGTAGGGATGCACAATTTAGCACATTACCTAACCTAAGTGGGTCATTTCATGCCTCATCGCATCCCCCCAAAAAATCTGAGAAATACAACCAGGCGGATTTTGATTTGAAAGAAACTTACTGTACTTGTTGATGGTGATGGAGCAACACTAAATATCAAATTTTAGGCCAATCGGAGCAGGGACCACCGAATTTGAATTAGACTGACAAAAAGGGGCGTGGCTTCGAACCCTTACAACTACTCCGGTCAATCTTCAAAAAGTGTCATTGGAAAGGGAATTCAACAAGGAATCCAAATCGGCAATCATTTAGAAGATTGGTGCATAAATTAGTTACTTGACCTTTTGAGATTTTGCGTTGTGCCATCACTGGCAACAAGTACAGCAAGTTTCATTAACATCAAGATTTGTATTGGTTAAATCCACTGGGTAATTTCGCATGGAATTACCCAAGTATGTATTTGTTCATATTATTTCTCTGGAAGTTGATGCAAGTTGATGCAGCAAAAAAATAAATAAATAATAATAATAATAATAAAAAACTTTCACAGCTTGTGTAACTTACTCTGTGAGCAGCCAGTGTTTGGAGCACAGCGACCTCCACAGCGGATTGTGTTTGGACAACTCATTCAGCCTCCTGTTGGTGGAACTGATGCTGCAGACCAAGCACACATGCAAACACATTCAGAAATTGCATTCGTTTGAATAGCAAGGTGGTGGTAAAAAAGTTGCAATAAGATTAAACTTCATAACTGTACATGAGTGTGCATTTCTAATATCTGTACTTTGCTTCAGAATAGCACTGTGAACTCAGAGTCCTTTTTTTCCCCCGACTTCGCAACTCAGAGCTCCCAGTTCAAAGACTTTTCCTAGTCAGAAGTGGGAAGCGTCCGACTTCCCACCTTCCTCGAATGCGGCATAAGAGTGGCTAACTTTTAGCCAGTCAGACTGACTGAGCAACATTTGTGGGCCATAGAAACTTGTTCATGCTTATCGTCGCCTTTGGTTTTTGTTCAATAAAATGATTAAATTAAATTGAGTCTGCATAGGAATGTTGTTGTGTAAGGCAGTTTACAGTAAGACACATTATCCTCTTTTCTGGAGTGGGAGAAGCAAGATATTCCGTGGGGTTGCATCTAAAAATTCACTCCATTTACTACACCAATGTTCTATTTAAAAAGGTATCAGCGTTGAGTCAACAAACAAAGCAGTCCAGACGTTTACACAAGAATCTACTTCAACTGCAGTACGGGGTGGGAGTACTTTTGCAACCTCTTCGTACTAAGTCATGGCTGGCTAAAATAAAGTAATGAAACCATGACACGTTCGTCTTTTGCATTAACGTTCAGCACTTCGTAATCAGCTCCGTTTTTTATGTTGGTTGTAATAAGACACAAACATCCTTTTAATCAACCGCTGTCGTTGCTGATTTCATAACTTGACAAGTTGGCTGGCAAAATGCTAACTGTTGTTGTTAGCCGTCTTAGCTGCACGGGACCACTTTACTTTCCGCTCGTCTTCGGCAAGAAACATCACGACCGTCTTGTATGTGCGGTAGCCGTAAGAAGCGTTCGGTATCACATACTCACTGGACCAAGTCTCTAAAGTCAAGGAAGGACAATATGTGCAGCAGCGGGTCCGAAGGTAGCAACTCCATTCGAAACTCGGTCGCCATTGTTGACAATCTTTTTCTTCTTCTCCTCCTCCAACGGCCAAGTCAACTGTTGGCAAATCATTTTTAAGGTGCAGTGTCGCCCTCATCTGGACGATAGACTCACCTACAAAAACAAACAGGACGACAGACGGGTCAGATGGTGAAAAGAGGGTTCGCCGCCCATTAGAAAAGATAATCCCCTTGCTAGAGAGCGTCCCTTTCCCTTCGAATTCGAAGATAACCGTAGCAAGCGCAAGGTGGCATTGTTGTTCATGTAGTTTTAATACTAAGCATTAAATGTGTCAAAAAATACTCATACTTTAGCACATGTACAATGGTTAAAGAAAAACAGCAAAAGAAGTAGTTCTTGGTAAACACCTGAACACGAGCAAGAACAGTACAAAAACGAAACTTTAATGCCAGTTTTTCAATTTTATTTATAACTTGGCGCAATGAAGTAGTTTTCCTCTTTTATTAATTTACATCACGTGTGTTTTTATAACCAGCCACTAGCTCGCGTTAGCTTGACTCGCGTCGATTATCCGAACTGTTTGTCCTGACGATTGTCGCGAGCGTGCTGGAGCCGATCCCAGCGGTTTTCGGGCAAGTAGGCAGAGTACACTCTGAACTGGGTGCCAGCCAATCACAGGGCATGCGTAGTTCATGCTATGAAAACAACTTCTTCATATACCTTTGCTCATGTTGGGAAGTGAATTTTTTTTTAATGACGTTAGGCAAAAACACACTTTGTGTATTAATTTTTTTTCCCAAGCCAAGGCTGAGCTTGACTTTGATGTTTTTAAAACAACTTAGTCCCAGTTGCTAATTGTTTGAATTGAGTAAGAGGAACAACAACAAAAGCTACTTTTCCTAATAACAACTGAAAAACGCCTGGATTTCCTGCAACACATAACCATTCCCCATTCAAAGTCAAATCTTCAGTTCACCCAAGAAGCTTGTTGTCCGGATGTAAGAGGAAAATTAGAACCCGAATCTACTGGCTGTGAGGCTAACTATTTCACAATGCTTCATGATACATGAGAAATAATGATCACTGATTAGATTCCTCTGTCTTCTTGGGTCTTGCAACCATTGGCCAAATTTTTGAGCTGTGAGACGCACTGATTTTGTGGCTTTTGAATGCGCACATAAACCACTTGAATGAAGTGTAGTCCTTCCTGCCTTTTGCTCTCAGTATGCTCTCCTCTTTCCGTCAATATTTGCTCTTACGTGGGCTGATCGGACACTCGAGATAAAGTTGTTAAGGTTCAAGTGAGACGACGGACCACTCTTTTATTTTCACCAAGCTTTACAAATGATTAAGATCACCTGGCTGCTTGATGGGAAAGTGAAGATGAGAACATAAGAAAGGCCTCTGAAGCTGAGCGCTTATACTGTTGGCCCATATAAAGAACTCTAGTACAAAAGTTCAGAAAGGTCACTGGGATGACAGAATGGGGGCGGCAGGTTGAAGATCATTTTGCAAGCCGTCTGCGTGGTTTCCTTTTTTCCCCAGACAATTTAGGGTGTAGAGAAAAACTCTCGCTGACGGTTTCGGCTGTCGCTTCAGCCTTCGTTGGAACTGGGTTGGGCAATGTGCCGGGGTAGCCTATACACTCAGATCCAGTTGAATGAGAAAAGGGAATCTGGCTTTGTAAACATTTGATGAAGATGAACCCAGATACCATCCAACCATCCATTTTCTAATCGGCTTATCCTCGGGAGGGTCGCGGGCGCCCTGGAGCCTATCCCAGCTGTCTGTGGGCAGCTGGTGGCGTACACCCTAAATTGGTTCCCAGCCAATCACAGGGCAGACGTAGACGAACTGCTTCCGCACTCACACTCACACCACGGGACAATTTAGTGTGTCCCATCAACCTGCCACGCATGTTTTTTGGAACGCTGGAGGCAACTGGAATACCCGTAGAAAAGCCACACTGGCACGGGGAGAACATGCAAACTCCACACAGGAAGGCTGGAGCCGGAACCGAACCCCGCACCTGTGCGCTGTGAGGCCGGCGTACTACCCGGTCGCCCACTGGATCCTACTTTGATCAAATGATGCGATGATGTTTTTTTTTTCTCCAAACAGCACAAGATGCGAATCGATTTCGAATGTCATTCGCCGACGCTAACGCAAATGGCGAATGGACAATTTGGGTGCGAGTCTGAGCTCTAACATCAGGTCTATATTTTTTTTCTCCAAACAGCACAAGATGCGAATCGATTTCGAATGTACTTCGCCGACGCTAACGCAAATGGCGAATGGACAATTTGGGTGCGAGCTCTAACATCAGGTCTATGGAGCTAGATGAGTTTGAGTAAAAAAAGTGTGCCTCATCACCCTGAATCATACTTTGACCTGGCAGTCAATATTCCCGCCCACCAGATGACTCGGGTTTGCAAAGAGACTTCACGGGAAAGTATTGGATTTGCTTGGGAGATTCTGCTTGGAGGTACAGACCATGGTGGGACCGGCGGCTGTTCTACTTCTGTTCCTGGTGCAAGGCTGTCTGGCAGAACATGGTACGGTATTTGATGCTTGTGCTATCTTTGCTCGCACTAGTCAAGTGAAAATGGCTGGCTGGTTCTCGGACCTCGGGTCCAACAGAAATCGATTTCACGAACCCTGACTCAAGACCAAGTCTGTCAAAGTAGCTTGTCAGAAGATCCGCCACTTTATCGACTAAAAGGCAACTTTTGCAATTTGTTTGTGTAGTTTTTCTTGACAGCCAGCAGGCTTCAGAGGTTCTGATCCGAACGCGACGAGCCAACCAGATATTTGAGGAAATGAAACCGGGTAAGCCGCCCCCGCGCCCCGAGATAAAAGAAACAACCCCAGCCGACCCGGGCCCATGTTTGACTGTTGTACTCAGGAAACCTGGAACGAGAATGCTATGAGGAAATCTGTGACAACGAAGAGGCCAGAGAAGTGTTTGAACAACCAGACAAAACGGTACGACTGCACTCATTTCGACCCGGTGACTGCGAGAGCTACTCGGAGTTTAACAATGAGTCCCTATTCCTCCTCAGGATCTCTTCTGGCAGAAATATCAGGGTGAGTACACTATAGCGTTTGGCATCCGGTCTTGTCCTACTTGCGCAAAAACACCGGGAAGATGAAGCTAGCTCGGCGGCACAAGTTTCTGGTTACGTTCGATTCAAGTTCTTTGACTCGTCGAGAAGTTTAATCAAACACGAACAAAGTCCAGAGCGGCTGAACTCACGCAAGCACACAAACGGCGCATATGTGTCCCTCTCTCCAGACTGCAAGGGAACAACACTGGAACGGACACAGTCCAACATCGACGCGGTCAAAGATTGTATAACAGGTAAAAGCGCACATCAAGAAGGCTGCTTCATGTGATTTAAGCCCCTGGACGTCAGTTTTGGGTTTTTTGGGGGGGGGCCAGGTCGGTGTATTTCCGGCAAAGGACTCAACTACAACGGAGATATCCACATTACTAAATCTGGTAGACTCTGTCAAAGATGGACTAGCGGCTTCCCGCATCCCATCATAAGGTATCGGCTCTATCGAGTGAGGCCCACAATCACAAATACGAGCTCAAAGCGCTTTTGGTGTCTCTCTGCAGGGAATTCAACGCTTCAGAACCCGACAGCATCCTAAAGGAGAACTACTGCCGCAACCCGGACGGACAAGATGAAGGGCCCTGGTGTTTCACGCAGGACCCGATGGTGCCCAAGGAGACCTGCAGGGTTCCGATATGTGGCAAGTCTCGTTAGCTCAGGATGACAAATATAGTTTACCGTATTTTCCGCACTAAAAGACGCACTGGATTATGAGGTGCGCCATTCATTGAAGGTGCGTGAAGACGCATTGAATATTTTTGGATTATAAGGCGCAATCTACAATGCATCCACTAGACGGAGCTACGCTCCTTCCGATCGACTCGAGAGGCGTTCATGACCGCCTCCGAAAAACGTAAATTAACGATTACTGTACGTCAATGAAACTACGAAAATTGAAAATTATGCATCAAAACAATAACTCAAGCGAGGAAATCACATAATAAATTCCATAGCCCCCTATAGAATTTATTTTGGCATTTCCTTCAGCGTAGCTCCAACAGAACGACCAGATGTCAGTAAAATGCAGAAGTGTTTTGTTATTTATTCCTTTGTTGTGCACTGTATTCACAAATGAGGATGGTCGGACGGATGGATGGATGGATTTCCTCGCTTGATTTTCTGTTTTGATGCATTATTTTCAATGTTCGTAGTTTCATTGAAGGAATCGTTCATTTACGTTTTTCGGAGGCGGTCATGAACGTCTCTCGAGTTGAACGGAAGAAGAGAAGGCACGGAGACGGCCAAAGACGTACCTGTATTTGTTGAGTATTTGCGTTTAAAAAAAACAACACCACAGCTCTCCCTTTTTCGGAGCTGCAACAAAAACGTATTAAATAAAGCCGCGACACAGTTCACAGAACCAACAGCAAGTTATCACATTGTAAGCGTGTCTCCAGCAAGGAGCCATCTTGTGGTCGACATATTACCGTAATGACCACACACAAGGCGCACCGGATTTTAAGGTGCGTCGTGAGCTTTTAAGAAAATGGAAGACCTTTCGGTGCGCCTTATAGTGCGGAAAATACGGTACTTGTAAGTCACGTGTTGGACCAGGAGGCAGTGTGGCTTTTCGGTTTAGTTTGTCCTAGTGCGTTAGACTGTACAGAAGGTTGCATCTGTGCACCTCGGGAGTGCCTTCTCTCTGATTTTCCCACTTCGATGGTGCCTCTGTAGTTGGGGTGCATTTGCATCCACCGTAAGGTTTGGACACGCGTGCTCCAGAGCTCCGGCACAAAGTGGTGTTTGCAATATTAGGGGCAGATGCCGTAACACGTATTGTTTTGCCCTCTAGGGGAAACCTTTGTCCCCCCCACTCTGGCCCCGGCACCAAAGAGTGCGGGTGACTGTTTACTGGAAAATGGCGTGGACTACACTGGCGACCTGGCCGTCTCCCTGGGGGGCCACGCCTGCCTCCAATGGTCCCAGCCGGAAGTCAAGAAGCTGAGCCAGGGCAAGGACTTTTTACCTGATGTCAGTCTCGTGGGCAACAAGTGTCGTAACCCCGACAACGACCCCGAGGGCCCATGGTGCTACGTTGATGTATCTGGGAACGTGACGGTGGATTACTGCAACCTCCAGCTGTGTGGTAATTGTCGTCCCGGCGGCACCGCTGCAACCGGTACAGCGCGCCAATGGGGGCTCTCGCCCGTGTGTCTTTTCCGCATGCAGAAGAGGAGCTGATTGACTACGAATCGCCGCCAGAGTCCGAAGGCCGCGAGCGCTCTGTCCACGCACCCGCCAGGAAGGCCTTTTTCAACCCTCGGACCTTTGGGCAAGGGGAGAACAGTAAGATCTTCCTCCTCTTATTTGCCAACAACGACGTAAGCAGGCACAATGACGCGGGTTCACATCTGGTAGCAAAATTGACGTTCCTGAGCTCGCTGTGTTGCAGTGTGCGGAATGCGGCCCCTGTTTGAAAAGAAGAACAAGGAGGATGCCAAGGAGAAGGAGTTGCTGGAATCTTACCAGCAACAGCGCATCGTTGGGGGTACAGATGCCGAGGTGTCCTCTTCGCCCTGGTAACCGGACTTGAATGACCTTTGAAATCGGAGGGAATTGACGATCACGGCCTGTTGCCCAAATGACCAAGGCTCGATTTAGTCCGTGGCGGGAAGTCCAAATACTGCACTTCATGACTGATCTTGAGTAGAATTTCTTCTGATCTTGTCCATGCATCCGTCCATTTTCTGATCCGCTTTATCCTCACAAGGGTCGCGGGGGGAGCTGGAGCCTATCCCAGTCAACTTCGGCAATAGGCGGGGGACACCCTGAACCAGTTGCCAGCCAATCCCAGGGCACACATAGACAAACAACCATCCGCGCTCACACTCACACCGCAAGACAATTTAGAGTGTCCAATCAGCCTGCCATGCATGTTTTTGGAATGCGGGAGGAAACCGGAGTACCCGGAGAAAACCCACGCAGGCCCGAGGAGAACATGCAAACTCCACACAGGGAGGCCGGAGCCGGAATTGAACCCGGTATCTCTGCACTGTGAGGTCGACACGCTATCCACAGGACCACCGGGCCGCGAGTCTGACTTGAAATCACCATGAGCTTGGGACCCCCAAATAGCAAAGGAAAACCGTTTCCTTCAGTTTTCTTGGATTTCACACAACGATTATTGGAAATGTCTTCATTACTTCAAAGCATGTCAAAATGCGCAATCGAATAGGAGTGTTTGGTGCTGCAGCCTTTCTTCTCATGCACTGAACTCTTCCCTCCGATTGGGCACATCCAGACTTGACTCAGGAAGAGGGTAGACAGTAGAACAACAAATTTGTCGGCCGTTGTGTGGAAAACGAAGTCGTGAGAGTGAGAGGAAAACAGATCTCATGACAACTACCGTTTAAAATTTTTATTTTTTTTGTAGCCGTGAGTACTGACACGCTGAACCTAGCCAACAGCTGTCAGTGTCAGCTGAGGAGGATGTCGAGGACATAAGGTGCAGAGTGACATGACATGAGTGATCACAAAGACGGGGGTCAAAGTGGACGAAACGGGCATCAACGTATATTGAATGCTGATTCATGTTCTTCTCAAGAACAGAAACGCGATTCGCCTGTTACCTGTCCACTGTACCTCAGCAAATACGGCCGGCGAGCTTTCTCAAATTCATTTTTTTTTTTTTTAGTTGAAGGCCAAATTTCTGCAGCACACGGACGCGGCAGGCCCCACATTTAGCTTTGCCTTGTGCCCTTGATTGACTAAACGGTCCCGAGTGCCATCGGAGGTGAAACGTTTCCGTGCCCTTCAGGCAGGTGATGCTCTACAAACGAAGCCCTCAGGAGCTACTGTGCGGCGCCAGCCTTGTCAGCGACCAGTGGATCCTCACAGCCGCTCACTGCATCCTGTACCCTCCCTGGAACAAGAACTTCACCACCAACGACATCTTGGTGCGCCTGGGCAAACACAACAGGGCCAAGTTAAGACCGCGCCTTCCCTTGCCGTCCCGCGCAACCGTTTGCGGGCAGCACCTCGGCAATCCTGTCGGTGTGCCTTTCGCGTCTTTCTTGCAGGTTCGAGCGCAACGTCGAGAAGATCGTGGCGATCGATAAAATCATCGTCCACCCGAAGTACGACTGGAGGGTGAATCTGAACCGAGACATCGCGCTACTGCACATGAGGCGGCCGATCGTCTTCACCGACCAGATCCACCCCGTTTGCCTCCCCAACAAGAAGGTGGCCAAAATGTGAGATCATACACACACAAGTCAAGTACAACTTTATTGTCAAATGTGCTGTATGTGCAACATACAGCACATTTGACAAACTTCATCGGTAGTGTATGTGCAACATACACCACAGATGAAATTTCTTCCCTCTCAAGACAACATGCAACAAGAGGAGCCGCTGCGGGTGTCCGGGCCGGCATCAAAAGAAAAGCTAACATAAAATGACAAAATAATACAAGACAACACATTAGACAGAGACAATCGTGCAATCTGAACCACTTTCCTGCATACACTTTGTTGTCTGAAGCAGTTATTGATGAAAGAGGAGCTGAATCAGAGTGTCCTTTTCACCAGTGGATCAAAGACGTCATGCTGCAATGTGCACACGTCTGCTACAAGCTAAGCGTGAAAGCAGCAAGAAGCTGTAGCATCCATGAACGAAAAAGAGAGATTGTCTCTCATCTCCTGTCCCATGTAAATCCGCTTCAATTCCAAGCCGCGACTCCCAGTTCCACATACGCATCGGCGCTTTGCGCTGACGCTCCCCTTTCTTCTCATCGTCGGCTCCTCAAATTCTGCATCCATCCAGCCGCAGACTGTCCATCAGCACCTACCTTTCCGCTGAACAAAGCGGGGCTCTGAAAATGCTGCCTATTTCAGGCGCAAGACACAAGCGTCCTGGCGCCGACAGTCCTCCCAATCCAAATCAGTGCTGGTACACGCGTGCTGCCGAGAACGTGCAACCACCAAGCACAGATTCTTCTTCTTTGACGAATGTCGTGGCCAAAAATGCTGAAAAAAGTCCACATCAGGACCACACGACGTAACAACACCACCATGTGACAAAGCAAAAGACAAAAACAACAAAAACACCCAAGGCTCTTGAAGAGCACTTGCCAACGGGCTGCCTCCTCGGGCGCCATCTTGGGAAAAAAATTCAAAATTTGAATCACCAGAGAATGCCATTGCCACGCGCAGATATAGCGGGTGATCCAAAATGTAGCGTCGATGTACCTTTGGCTGAAAAAAACAAAGCACAGAGAGTCAACAGACACTCAAATATCATCGTCTCGCTCTTTATTGCAACTCCTGGGAAATTTGCTTCTTGCTCGACAACCGCTCTATGTTGTTTGCGGCTCAAAGTCGCCAATTGTACGGGTGAGAGTTGCCGAACGTAATTTGTTGGCCAATGGCTAGTTTGGTAGCGTTGCCGGCTGAGCGGCTGCTTCTCACGGTCCGATCAGAAATGACGGCCTGGCGATTTTTCAAACAGGCTGATGAATGCAGGCTTCAAAGGCCGAGTGACCGGCTGGGGAAACCTGAAGGAAGCCTGGAGCCCCTCCGAGAGAGCTTTGCCGACAGTTCTTCAGCAAATCCATCTGCCCATCGCAGACCAGAGCACCTGCAAACGCTCCACTTCCATCAGGATCACAGACAACATGTTCTGCGCCGGTACTAATTTGTTTGGGCCGCTCCGGGTTTTTTGTTTATTTTTGAATGTGCCCGGCCAACAACGTTGATCCCTTTTAGGATATAAACCCGAAGACTCGGACCGAGGTGACGCCTGCGAGGGAGACAGCGGTGGACCCTTTGTGATGAAGGTGAAAGGAGCATCGTCATCATCATCCACCCACTCATGGCGATTATGGAGAGAGATGAATTGAACGCTTCCTTGTTTTCTGTTGCAGCATCCCGCCGAAAACCGTTGGTACCAGATTGGCATCGTGTCGTGGGGCGAAGGCTGCGACCGCGACGGGAAGTACGGCTTCTTCACGCATGTTTTCAGGATGAGCAGGTGGATGAGGAAAGTCATCGAAAACTCCGATGACGACGAGTAGATTGTGAAGCAAATTGAGGCAAATAAAAGTTTGTCCCGCTCAAAAATGACTTTAATTGATCGAACACAACCCGCGGCGGCGCTCGGCCGCATCGACGATCGCGTGCACGTTTCAATTCAAACAGAAGAGCAATCACGCTGTATGAAAGCCGTCTCAAGACTCGCCGAGGGCTACGCTGGCCACCGTTCGTCGCGGTGCACGCGCGCCTCAGCGAAACAAATGTCGGTTTGATGTGCTTTGGGCTACAAATGATGCATGATTTGTTCAATAAACAGTTTTAGTTTTCTGCGTACGTTTCTGCACGTGGTTGGTCGTTGTCATTCTCCAATATCGAGTTTCGGTTATGATGGAATCTTTGAAGGTGTGGGGGGGGGGGCGGGGGTCCTCTGGAGTCCCAATCAACTCGGAATGCAGGATCCTTCAAAAGCGTTTCCTTTCATAAATAAATCTGTTTCGGGCACACAAGGTGAAACAAAAACAGTTTGATCTGTAGAATGGAATAATTTGGAGTGCGATGGAAGGCCTCTTGAGGGTCTCTGCTGGTGTCCTCTGAAAACTGACCACGACATGCGATGGTATAAATAGAAAAACCGCACCTTCCGCAACTATGAACTATTTGACATCATGCGGAACCGTGCTGGTGTAAAAGGGTGGGGGGGGGGGCGTCATTAAAATGAAGAGATTGAACAGGCGGTGAGCAGCGCACCTCCAAACTGATGTGAGGCGATTCTTGCATCCTCAAACGAAAGACAACAAACAACTTTGACTTGCAATTTTAATGGATGAGTTTTCAACATGGAATTTGATTGGCAAAGATGTTTTAGGTGGAAAAGATCTCTCCCAGAAATTGCACATTTGAACAACCTATTATTAGTATTATTTTTTTATTTGTGGCATAGTTGTGCGTGATGAATGAATTCTTCGTCATTTGGTCCAAAAGGATACTGTTGTCAAAAAAAAGTATAAGTCCTGAATATCACACAAGAATATAGTTGTTGATGCCACAACTAAAATAATATTATTTAGGAAGGAATTAATGAAAAAGATGCACGGCATTCAAAGGCGCCGAAGCGGAAAAAGCACGTCAAGCTCGGTCAGGGTGCCGTGGCTTCGCCGCCGGCCGGCCCGTGCGTCAACAAGTGTCTGTTCAGGTGAGTCCTGCGCGTGTAGCTCTTGGGACACAAAGAACAGGCATGTGGACGATTGTTACTGTGACACAACAAGTGTTTCTTCAAGTCGAACTTCCTCCGTAGGCATTTCCCACACTCGGGACAGGAGTAGGGCTTCTCGCCTGGACGACAAAACATTTCACAAACACCAATCAGCCGCGTTGACGTCCGGGACACGAAGCATGAGTAGGGCCCGCTTTATGAAAGACCCGCAAAAAAGCCGAAGCAAAATCGCCCGGTCATTCGAAAGGCGCTGACACACTGCACTGAGTTTGCGCAGTGCCGACTGCTAGCTAGTGCAAGCAAGCCCATATTTAGCGCTGGTTGCCAAACCACCGAACAGGAAGTAGCCTGACGCTGCCTTTTTCTCATGATTGGGCCGTAAAGTAGGCCGCAGCTCAGCGATATTTATTTGTCACAATTTCCGCAGAAATCCCTGGCTTGACTTAAAATGAGGACGAGGAGGTGAGCGGCAGCTCAGAGAAAAGTACGGGCTCGTGCGATACGAATGACATCATAATGTCGGGGGAGTCGAGGCGAGTCCTTGAGCCACAGCTCCACGAAGACCGCATTGAGGTCTGAGAGGAATCTTCCCGTCATTCACCTCGACACAATCTCTCGAAATCATCCACTACCCTCTGACCTCTCACATTTTTTTTCATTTCACAGGTTTTCGATAGGGTTGAGGTCTGGGGAATAATGGCCATTTTGGGGGGGGGGGGGGAGCCCCAACTGCATAACAATGCATGTAAAATTTTTCTTCACAAGTCATGCAAAAATGTCTATACTTTGATATGCATCCAAACTATCTCAAAGGATGTCACTGAAAGCGTAAAACAATGAATAACTCACTCAAGTTTTTTTTAGGGGAAATAAAGTTTTCGGTAGGACTGAACTGTTAACGTTTGATGAGCCCCAACGAAAACAAAAAGTGCAGGGGGTTCCCCAGGCTCGGCAGGAAAATTTAAATAAACAAATAATTCCCTCAGGTTTACCCAATTTGAAGACGATCTCTTCAAAAATTAAAAAAAAAAAAAAAAAAGGCCGATATGCGTCAACATGCCGAGTCTCTTTGCCGACAATCAGTTTGGTGCAAAAATTTGCGTAAATCAGGCCATCGAGAGGCAGTCAAACATACCGGTGTGGATGCGGCGATGTTCGCTCAGGTGGCCGGAGTTGGCGAAGGACTTCCCGCATTCCTGGCAGGTGTACGGCCGCTCGCCCGTATGGACCCTCATGTGCTTCTGCAGGTCGCCTCCGGACGGCCAGCCCTTGCCGCAAACCGTGCACACGTACGGCCGCTCGCCGGTATGCTGTCGTGCACGTGGAGGCCGGCCAGCGCGGTGAAATCTTTGGAGCAGTAGGGGCAGCGATACGGCCGCTCGCCGCTGTGCGTCCTCAGGTGGCCCTCCAGCCCGTCGCGGGTCTTGAAGCATTTGCCGCACTGAGGGCACAGGAAGCGACTGTCTTTGTTGTGACTCGCCCGGTGGGACTGAAGGCCGGTGAGCGAGGCGTACGTCTTGTCGCACTTATCGCAGCGGTAAGAGCGCGGCGTGTGAGAGCGCTGGTGGATACGAAGCAGAGTCACGCCTGCGGAGGATCGGACACGGTACAACGTCAAGAAGTGTAAATTAAATTAAAATCATGTAAATTCAGATTTATTTTGGAAGGAGACTATATATGTACTTTAAAATTGTATCTGTACAGATGATTAAAATAAAATTGAGTAAGTTCAACCACCGTTTGTCTTTTCAGCGTATCGCAAGGTGGTACCCACTGTACTCCGACTTTTACCAAAGTATCCGTACTTCTACTTCGGCATTTCGGCAACCTCTGTCCAAGTTACCTGAGAAGGTCTGCTCACAGAAACGGCAACGGTAAAAGAGCTCGGCGCCCTCCACCGTGTGCGTCTGAAGATGTCGCAAGAGCTGCGACTGGGAGCCGAACGTCTTGGAGCACACGGTGCAGGGGAGGTCCGGCCGCCGGGGA